GGGATGGAGGAGGGCTGGGTGCGAGTGTACATGCATCTATGAGTGTGTTTGCGTGTGCGTGGAGGAAAAAAGGGGGTGACAAGTGAGGATTGGGTTGGTGGGTGAGGGGAGTAGAGGGATTTGGTGTTTTAATTAGACAGATTTAAGGAGCTGAATCCCCTTCTCCAAGAGTGTGTGCTGTGGGAGGTGGAGATGGGGGGGGGGGGGACTCAGATTGATTTGTGCTTATAGTTCTGTGTGTGTGCGTGTGGGTGCATGTGTGAAGAAATTACACAAAGGCTACTCGCGTGGTGTGTGTGCGGGTGGTTGCAGGTCGCGGCAGGGATGGTGCCGCAGCAGAGGAGGCCTGACACTCCACTGCTACGGGCCAGGATCTCATTAACGTGTCAGATTGGTGGATCAGTCTCTCTGGCAGCCCGCCCGGCCTCTCACAGGAAGTACTTTCTCTCTATCTGTGAACTTGGCACCGAAAGGTTAGGCGGGGAGGGACATGTGGGGAATATATTGGCTTGGAGGAGAAAAAAGGAGAAGAGAGGCTAAGCATTAATTATGGCATTTGGTTAGATTGGATAAATATTGGGTGAAGGATTGGGGTTTTAAAAGCTGCATTTATTTGTCAGGGAGAGGAAGTGCCGTTGCGAGTTTAAAAAAAAAAAGAAAAAAAAGAGGACTGATGATTTTCAGGGAGTGAAAGAGACAGACTGACTCTTGCAGTTGCACTATTTTGGAGGTGGAGATATGCTAAACATGTGACAAGAGCATCTGTCACTACATCACCTTTGTGCTTTGTGCTCTTTGTCTGGGGGCACTGTGACTGGGTGCACGCAAGCGTGTGTTGAATGTGTGTGTGGCTATAATATGAGGGAGTATAGGGTGGGTTTTATAGCAGGTGGGAACATACAGGGGTGTGATCCTCTGACACCCCAGCAACACCCTATTTTGGAGCAAAGAAACTAATGCTGCTGGGTAGTAGTTTTGATTCCCTCGGCTGTGAATGTGAGCATCTGGTTGTCATGACTGCACTGTGGTGTGAGATGGATAGATAAATTGAATACATTCAGGAATAACTTGACACATGATAGATAGGTAGGTCAACCCTCTACCTGGATGTTAAGAAGCCCGTAAAAACATGTATGAATCCATCATATGATTTTCAGATACGTCAAGTTCCAACTTTATAGCACTTCGAAAAGAAATTTGACATTTAACACAGTTGAAAATTTTAATTGTTTGGTTTTAACTATTTTGAAATGGGAATACCAACTGCTGGAGTTTGTTTGTTCTTCATAAACAAACACCGTTGGCAGAAAATTACACTGTGGCCTGCATGATAAAACATTCAAGTTATTACAGTGTTTAACTTTCTCTGTGGGAGCTCATAGTCTGTGTAAGTAGAGCTGAAGTCACTGGAGAGAGGTTGCTGTTGATTTTCCAGATTGATGGCTCTAAAATCAAAATTGCATCACAGCAGAGCAACCGTCACAGCAAAAATAAGGCAACACGTTGACTAAATGATCTTAAATTTCCAATGAGTCTCACAAAATAAATCTAACCTGACACAAATTATGAGGAT